AACTGGTTGTCCAGTTGCAGATCCTAAAAGTGCTCCGCTTGCTGGTCCATACTGATTCACAATTCAGGAAGCTGTACTCAGCAATCATCCAGAAGATGCTAGGTTGGAGAATAAGTTCAAACCCCCCACCCCACCCCATCATCACCTTCTTTAACTTTCAAATGTGTTATTTCAAATTTGTCTTTCTAATTTATATATATTAAAATGGTGTGGGTGTGGGTGTGTTCCAGCATAACTCTGGAACACCTCGAGAGCAATTTCAACCAAAGTTAGTAGACAGGTGACTTACTCTCTGGAGAAAAATACTGTGGAGGTAAGACACCCCTCAGGGTGTATATTCTGTTAAAATGCAGCCTGTTGTGCCTTTAAATGTCTTCTATTGTACTGCTGTAAAATGGCTTCCACTCTACAGCGGCAGTGGAGTTGCCATAGTAACAGCTTCACAGTACTCCACAAGGGGGCTCCTCTGGTAAGGGGAAAATTCCAACATTAGAAATTACATTTGGTCCAGATATTTTCCCCCTATAAATACCCAGAACAACACCAGGCTATCAGCTAGTGTAAAAAAAAATGTTGCCAAGCGCTGGTTTCAATGGATAAGCCACCAAAACAAACTGGCAGTTTGCTAAAAACAGAAGCAGCACTAGCAGTGGGTTGATAGATACCATCATATTTTTTTAAAGACATACAGAGATGGAATTTTTATTGATTTTTGAAATGTCACAAAAGAACATAATTAGCTTCTGACCTTTTGGTATTTCTGTCGCCATTGATGTATCTGGTGAACCTGCCATGTTGCAGGCTTAGGAGAAGGAAAAAAGTGACATCTGCTGCGGGATTCCAGCTGCACTGCGGCCATAGTTGAAGGAAGCACCTGCTCAGGAAGGATTTGTACTTTGGCCTGCTGTAGGCTGATTAAAAAAAAAAGCCACACTGTGAAAATTGTACCTATTCACTTCTATAGGAGACACAAGTATGCTTAATTATTTACATCTTTTAATTGCATAAATATCCTGGGAAAGCACAGGAGTCGTTGCATATTTTGATTCAATATTTTCTAAAAATCTCTATTTTATGATTTCATATAAATATCCTCCAACCATCTTTTTAACTTACACTATTTCAGAGGTTCCACAGCTATGTTTCAGTTGTTTCATATTAGACCTTAGCCTGTTCTTTTAAAATGGGAACCGTTCTAAAGCCAAATAGTAAAGTTTTAGTTCCAACATTTTTTGTGATTTCGTTTGGTTAATTTTGGTGTTATTTAGTAAACATACAACCATAGGAAATGCATTTTTACCTGAATAGCCATTTAAGACACATGTGAAATAAAATCAGACCTAGCTCAAAATGAGCAGAAATAGAAAGTAACCTGTAATCTTGAGAAAACATTTCTTTTCATCCCTTCAATCATGTCCCATTCTCAAAGACTGCTTGGACAAGTTCCTGCATGTTTTTTTTACTTGGGTTCTTCAGGTCAACTAGTTGGCTTTGTGCTTAAGGCAGGACTAGAACTCACAAGTTCTTAGATATTAGCCTGTTGTCTTCACTATCGCTTTGGTATTATACAAGAATCAATGTTGTTGTTATTTTTAGTACAACCTGGAAGGTTGCAGCACAGGACTCAGGATATCACTACACTAGAGCTCAGGATGTCATCACACAGCCCAATACCCAGGTCGTTACAACACAAAAGATTAATGGGCACACAGCTAGCACCGCAACCACACAGGATGTTACACAACAGCCAATTAATCTGCACACATCAACTCCATCAACTAATCAAGATGTAACAACACAGCCAACCAACCTGCTTACAGCAACAAAGCCAGCACTCCACATACCCCCACCAATATTTAGAGAAAGACAGCAGCTCCGATCACGCTTTGCTTGCACAAGCACAAAGCCGAAGGCACCAGCCTGAAGATGGCGAGTGGGACTGATACTCTCAGTCTTACATGGGAAAAGACCTGAATATGCCAAGACCTGCATCTATCTATCTATATCTATCTATCATCTATCTATTATCTATCTATCTATCTATCTATCTATCTATCTATCTATCTATCTATCAATAATATGTATAAATGTGTATATGTATATATGTATATATCAGGGGTGAAATTCAGCAGCTTCTGAAGAACCAGTAGTGGAAATTTTGAGTAGTTTGGAGAACCGGCAAGTACCACCTCTGGCTAGCCCCAGAATGGGGTGGGAATGGAGATTTTGCAATATCCTTCCCCTGCCACGCCCACCAAACCACACCCACAGAACCGACAGTAAAAAAACATGAATTTCACCACTGGTTTATATGTATATGTATTGTATATATGATAGACTGTATATATGATACAGTCCATCATATATTGTATCATATATACAATGATACGTATATGAAACTTCACGAGGGGTTGGTTTTAATGAGTTTCAATCTTCCATTTTGATTTATGATCCATAAGCTGTGTGGAATCATAAGGAGAGATTAGCATGCAGTTAGTCTCATTCACAATTCATCATAGACCATGGTGACTCTATCATCAAAATATGGTCTTGCTATTAAAATAATTCTTGCCCAATCTGAGCAGCTTGCTTGCTTGCTTTCTCATTCATTCATTTATTCATTTTCTATAGCTACCCAACTCGACCAAGTGACTCTGATTATCTTATAATTATAAAATTATAAAATAAAAACATCCACAAAATAAATATGAGCGGCAGCTATGATGACTAATCAACTAACAGTAAAGCCAAATAATGGAGACTTCTTAACACATTCCGAGTCCCAGGTCCAGATAAATAGTCAAGTTTTTAAAGCCTCGCGAAAGGCCAACATTTCCAGATGAGATTTCTTCATCTAAAGTCCACTACAACCAAGGAGAGAGTTTGGCATTTGAGTAAAATTACTATTATTATCTGGAGGAGGGAAATAGTGAGCCAAATAGGAACCAGCATTAATCTGATTTAATTAATTTCTTAATCTAAATAAAAATTAAAAACCCTAAATCCAATCAAAAATATTGTTAGGACACAGGAGCAGATAATATATTATATCCCAAGTGTTTAATAATTTTCCATCTGTCATATTAAAATGTACAATTCAGCAGCAACATTTGGAGGGAGTTTGGAGTTTGCAAATTTATAAGGATAACAGACCTCTCCTCAGCAATCTGCACTTTGTAAAAGATCAGAACAGCTGGACAGTATTCAACATTAGGCCTATTCCAGATGATTAGCTTCACCGCAGCCAATCATGTGCCAACGTGGAACCCACACAAACAACACACAAACACCCCTCTCCTGATTTCATTCAGACTGCATCTGTTTTATTTAGATGAAGTTGACTACAAGTGTCAGAAAAGATTTATAATTATTTCAAAACATATTTTCTTAACACATACAGCTATACGTGACATTAATGTATGCTGCCATCTTGTGTTCCATTGGCTATACTCCTAGAATATTTTTTTTTCAACTGGAGAAAATACGTACATTATTTTCAGTACACTGCACAAAAGAAATGATAGCTCACTCATCACATTTTAGGCAGAGTTTCTTTTTCAGAAAGTGTGCTCTAAATGCCCATCAAATTTCACCTTTTGTGTGTATGCATATATATCCTCCTGTACAGATCATTCAATGTACAGGTTTTAGTGTACATTTCATTAGGATACAAACTGTTCTTAAACTATAATTCCAATATGTTTTATTTGCAATCTTTGTACTATTGATTCCATATTTGCATATTTATATTTTATCTTTTAATGCATTCAAATTCATATATCGTTCAAGAAGAACAAACTGAGTAAGTTTGAGGTAATTCATAAAACAAGCTTGTTCCTCAGTCAGCTTTAATTAATTTTAAAACACTACGAAGTCTCTCAACTGGTAAGTATATGAAGGGGTGTCTACAAAAAGAAATCCAAGGTTGAGGTCATACAAAATCCTGAAAAAAAAAATACACTGGCATCGACTTCTATGTTTCTAAAACAATCCTGGGTAGTTGTGTTTGTATAGTCAATAGATGTGCCTTAATTTCTTATTAACAGTAAAATACAAAGTGTTTAAACCTTAAATGTTGCTGTCATGAGTTCCATAAGCTAATATTTTTATGTCTCCATATTTTGTTTAAATTAAATAAATGGGATCACGGATAGTGACGTTAATAGGATTTTTCTTTGAAGATACTTAAACAGTGTTAAGATGTTTAAGGTGATTATTACTAAATACTTCAGCTACAAAAGCAAACACAATTACCCAGGATCAGGACCGTACAAGATTTCATATTAGTATAAGCAGCTTGTAAATAGAAATTCCTGAAGATTAAAAGTTGCTTATTTCACACTAATAAAATAGTAAGAATATATTGGATGTTAAAATGAGTTTCTGTTTAACAAGAATAAATAGCTCCTTTCTTACCCATCAGCTTGAGTTCTTAGCTCAAGTACTTTAAACCGCTGCCTTCCCACAGCTTTTACTTTGACGGTCTCAATTCCATATTTCTGTTCTTCTCGATAGGCATAAATTTCAGCTGTTGTTCCAAAATGTGCTTCTCTTTCAAGTATGTTGCTAAAAAAAAGAAGTTAGAATGAGCAAAAAAGGAGCAACTTGCAGCATAATGTTTTCACTGCCCAGACACATCCCCAATATTATCAGAATCTATTAATCCTTGAAAACTATGACATTGTAGGGCAGGAATTACAAAAATTATTTACTTNTTTTTTTTAAGTGCCAGCAAATAACCTGAATTTCTATGGAGCGATTAAAGCCACTATAAAGAAATAGTTGCTAGTTTTATCCATTCTCCTTTCCCCTTGAAGTGATGTTTGAACATATGATATATTCATCTTCTCGTCAGCCAAAATGTTGGCCTGGCCTATTAAAACTATATGCAAAGGTCTATACAAAGAACTTAAAGGGGCACTTTCTAAAGCATCTTGGAAATATTACAATCATTATGTCCTACAAAACAATTTAGCTACAAAATGGTACAAAAGATCATTATGGATTCCAGTCTGGTCCTTCAAATATGAAGAAGACATCAGATGAATTCAAAAGCTCAACTCCCACCCTGTAGAAATAAAGAGCAATTGCCTGCAGTCTATAACCTACAATTAGAGGGAAAATGTCAAGAAATAATCAGAAGTAAAATATGGAGATTCTAGATGAAAAATGTAGAATGATCACTTAATATTTAGGTCAGATTTGAATCTAGTTGTGTTCTAATGAAACACTGTTGAATTAAACTAAGCGTATAATTTTTTTATTTCATAAAACAGGCTAATTGTGCCCATTTATATGCACGAGGCATAGAGCCTGTCGGTTAAATGTCAGTAATCAACCTATCATCTTCCTCCAGTCTATTTATATAAACTTTTTAGATCAAATAAACAGGAAAATTATTCTCACGGGGTTAATGTATTTCAAACATCGTAACTACAGCACATTCTGCATTAAGGTCAAAACTGCCAGCCAACCTGACCTTGAATAGCTATCCCTGAGAAAATTACATAATGAAAACTTCCATAAAATGCATTGCACAATGACCTTGTTCCATTAACACCAAGGCCTTTCATTATATTTCCCTTATCCTTGCCTCTCCCATTCCCTACATGCTCTGAATATAGATTGGTTATTGTAGGTATCTACAAGTTTTCCTAAAATATTTTTAGCATTTCTGCAATTCTTATGCCTGTTGTTCTTCCAGCTATTAATCCATAAGCCTGTTNCTAAATAAAATTTAAAAAAATAAATTTCAGTCTTTTTCAGCCTGCACTGGATTATAACTCTCATCTTCCCCAACCACGACTATGTTAGCAGGGAATGAGAGTTAAAGCCCACCATATATCACAAGGGAAACAAGTTACCTTTCATCAACAAAGATAAACCAGAAAGTCATTACAGGTAGAAAAAAAAAACCCTTGCCTTTCTAATCATAAAAAGAGCATTGAAGAACCTGGCACTGGAAGATTATTCTAAGATTTTTAATAAGTTAGTTAAACTAGTGCTTTGGGGAATAATTGCATTTTTAACTCTGAAGTAAAAAAGTTATCACAGCAGGTGCACAAACAAGTCAAGATTATTATGAAAGCGTGCCTTTACAAATAAAATATGATTGCTTTATGCTGACAGGGAAACAAAATTTTGGGGGATATCTGGCTAGAAACAGATAAGGACAAAAATGCAGGAAGATAGAAATTGTCACTACGCATCCCCAAAAGGCATAAGAAACTCATTAAAATATAAATATGTACATGACTGATATATGGAAGAACTATGCAGTCACAAATGCCACGGAAAGCAGCACTAATTTCAAAATTCAAAACTCTTTATCTATTTTTATATATCTAGGAAGAGAACACATTTCTTTCTGTTCTTCTCATCAAAGAACAATCCATAGTTCCAGTTTTATACGGTTTTACTTTTAATATAATTTAATTTGAATTTGGGACAAGAGAAAATTCTTGTATAGCTTTATGTTCTTGGTTTTCAAATACATTTTTAAACTCTTCCTTTTATTGCTTCGCCCTACTTTGGCAGGATTTTATATGAATGTGTTTTAGCATCTTATTCTCCAGAGAATTTTAAATGTCAACTTAAGATCTACTTATCTTTAAATATATAATACAGCTCTGTAGGAGAAAAGCTAATTATCAGGATAAGTTCTATTCCTGAAGATTTCACTGATTCATTAAACACTTTTGTGCCTTTTTGTCATTGTTGACTCCTGATGATTGTCTAATCTAATCCTTGCAGTTTTCTTGTCAAGATTTTAGAAGTGGTTTGCCATTGTGTCCTTCCTAGGGAAGACTGAGAACAACTAGTCCAAGGCCACCCAACTGGTTTTATGTCCCAAGATGTGACTAGAAGTCAGTTTCCTAGTTTTAACCTTGTGCTTTAACCTCTACACCAAACTGGCTCTCTTGTTAAACACTATACATTAGTGGTGGGATTCAAAATTTTTTACTACTGGTTCTGTAGGCGTGGCGTGGCTTGGTGGGTGTGGCAGGGGAACGATACTGTAAAATTTCCATTCCCACCCCACTCCAGGGGAAAGTTATTTCAAAATCCCCATTCCTTCTTGATCAGCTGGGACGTGGGAGGTAGGGAATAGATGCGGCAGGGCCAGTCAGAGGTGGTATTTACCGGTTCTCTGAATTTCTGCTACCATTTCTCCAGAACTGGTCAGAACCTGCTGAATACCATGTCTGCTGTACATGATCAAAATAGTTGCTGTAGCTTCTCCTAAAGGGTTTTTTTTTAAGTGCCAGCAAATAACCTGAATTTCTATGGAGCGATTAAAGCCACTATAAAGAAA